AACTCCTGACCTCAGGTGATCCGCCCGCCTTGGCCTCCCAGAGTGCTGGAATTACAGGCGTGAGACACCGCGCCTGGCCAATTTTTGTATTTTCAGTAGAGATGGGGTTTTACCATGTTGGCCAGGCTGGTCTTGAACTCCTGACCTCAAGTGATTCGCCTGCCTCAGACCCCACGGTGCTGGGATTACAGGCGTGAGCCCCCACATCCAGTCAAGAGAACAAGCAAATCACTTAACTGCTGTGTGCCAGCCTTGCCTGGGAAGAGGGTAAATTGTTCCTTACCTGTCAGGAAGTTGTCGTGAAGATGAAGTGCCTAGCACAGTAGGCACTCGGTATGGAGAGACGTTGAGGTTATGCAGCAGTCACCCTTGCACTGGGCCCTGGGAACAGTGGTGGATGGAAGAGACGAGGCCCAGCCCTCATGGTGCTCATGGTCTGGGTGAGGTGGCAGACATCAGACACCCCTGAGGATGGGATGAGCTCACTGTAATCCAGCCTGGGGCCAGAGAGGCCTCTGAGGGAGGGGGCGGCCCTAAAGGACGGACCAGGCAAAGAGACACCATGGGGAGAGGGGGAGTAGCATGTACAGAGGCCCTAGGGCTGGGACAAAGAATGTTCTAGAACATGGGGGATGCAGGGTGGCCAGTTTGTAAAGGGTGAGAGGGTTTCAGCTGGGATGGGCAAGAAGGCCCCTAAGCTATAGCAGAGAAGTTGGGCTTGATTCTGAGGGCTGTTGGGAAAGGCAGGGATGACAGTGAGTGAGATGCATTTGGGAGTGAGTGAGATGCGTGGGAGGCCCGTGGCTCCTGCATCACTGAGCAAGTGTTCTCTTCTAGGAAGTGGGGACGGGCTCAGCAGCCCCAGCAACTTAGAATGCAGCCCTGGGTCCCAGCCACCATCTCCAGGACCTGCCACCTCCCCGGCTCCTCCAGACCTGGACCCGGAGGCTGTGCGCGGGGCCCTCCGAGAATTTCTGCAGGAGCTGCGCAGTGCCCAGAGAGAACGGGTAAGCCTGGGCATGCGTGGCTGGATAGGGAACCTGCAGCGCCCTGGAGGGGTTGCAGGGTGTCAGAGCAGGGGTCTTCCTTCGTTCCCCCATGTTGGGGCTGCAGGATGATCTTCGGACCCAGACCAGTGCCCTGAGTCGCCAGCTGGCTGAGATGGAGGCGGAGAGAGACCACGCAACCTTGAGGGCCAGGCAGCTGCAGAAGGCGGTGGCTGAGAGTGAGGAAGGTGAGTCTGATCCTTGGGGTCCCTGGTCTCTCGTTTTGGGCAGTTGAGGCAGGAGACGGGGGACTGGCCTCTGACCCTGCTGTGGCCCCCATGACCTGACTCGGGGCTGTCTCCAAGAGGACCCTCCTTGGACAGCCTCACCTGTGTGCAGACCTGCACACTATGAAGGGTCCAGACAGGCTGGCCCTGCACTGGGTGGAGTGTAGGCTGGACATTTTGTGACCTGGTTTGGGTCTCGGGGCTGTGCTTGGCCATGCCTGACGGGGTGGGTGGTGGCTGCAGCCCGGCGCAGTGTGGATGGGCGGCTGAGCGGGGTCCAGGCGGAGATGGCGCTGCAGGAGGAGAGTGTGCGGCGCAGTGAGCGGGAGCGCCGGGCCACGCTGGACCAGATAGCCACCCTGGAGAGGAGCCTGCAGGCCACCGAGAGCGAGCTCCGGGCCAGCCAGGTGGGCGTGAGCTGAGGGCCAGCGGGGGCGACAGGGAATCTGTGTACCCGAGTGGTTGTCTAACTCTTACGTGTGTCTCCCTGTGTCTGTCTGCCTGAGTCTCTCTGCAACCCACAGCCTGTGAGTCTGTGAAATCACATTCAGACTCCATCCTCTCATGTCACTTGTGGTCACTGGCTGTAGAAAAAAGAGCTTGGTCAAGGTGCAATAGCTCATGCCTGTAATCCTAGCACTTTGGGAGGTCGAGGTGGGTGGATCCCGTGAGCCCAGGAGTTTGAGACCAGCCTGGGCAACATGGTGAAACCCCATCTCTATGAAAAATACAAAAAGTAGCTGGGCATGGTGGTGTGGGCCTGTAGTCCCAGCTACTCGGGAGGCTGAGGTGGGAGGATCACTTGGAGCCCAGGAAGTCGAGGCTGCAATGAGCTGTGATCATGCCACTGCACTCTAGCAAGGCAGAGTGAGACCCTGTCTCAGAAAAAAAAAAAAGAAGAAAAGAAAGCGAGCAAGGCTGGGCGTGGTGGCTCACACACGCCTGTAATCCCAGCCCTTTGGACTTTGGGAGGCTGAGACGGGTGGATCACCTGACACCAGGAGATCGAGACCATCCTGGCCAATATGGTGAAACTCTGTCTCTACTAAAAATACAAAAAATTAGCCAGGCGCGGTAGTGGGCGCCTGTAGTCCCAGCTACTCAGGAGGCTGAGGCAGGAGAATGGCATGAACCCGGGAGGCGGAGCTTGCAGTGAGCCGAGATCGGGCCACTGCACTCCAGCCTGGGCGACTGAGCAAGACTGTGTCAAAAAAAAAAAAAAAAAAAGAGAGAAAGAAAGAAAGAAAAGAAAGAAAGAGAGCTTGGGCTTTGAGCTGTCATCTGCCTGGTTTTCGTTTTCCTCATCTCATCTGTAAAAGGAGGAGCAGTGATTACCTCACAGGGTGATACGCATAGGCTGTTATCACAGGTGGTACTCAGGGAGCCTCTGTTTTATGTCTCTGTAGTTCTGGGGTTTTTGTGTGTGTTTGGGGGACAGCTGCGTGTGCCAGTGTGTGTGTCTGCCTGTCTGGGGCAGGAAACTCAGGCCCTGGTGCTGACAGTGCAGCCACAGTTCCTCTCCGCCCTCCCCAGCCTGTCCCTCTATTACTGCCCCGCACTCAACCCCCTGCCTCTGGCCTGGGGCCGAGCTTAGCTGGATTGTTGTGTCTGCGGCTTCAGCCCTGGCCGTGGGCCCAGCCGCAGGGGCTGCGGGAGGAGGCCAGGAACAAAGCTGGGCAGGAGCCAGAGTGGGGGCCCCAGACAGGGCAGGGCTGGGGCTGTGGGCAGGGTGGCAGAGGGGCCAGGCTCAGGATGGGGGCTGGGGAGGCTCTAATAACACCCCCTGTTGATCCACCCTGTCTCTAGGATAGAACCAGGGATTGGAGGACCCCTAGTCTGCCTTCCTGTCCCATCCCCACTCCCCAGGCCTTCTTCACTGGCTGACCCTGGGCAGGGGAGGGGGAATCACAACCTGAAACCCTAGAACAGCAGGGCCCCCTCAGAACTGTCGGGCTCAGCTCAGTTTGCACGTGAGTCAGTGGGGCAGGAGAAGGGCCTCGGAATCTGCATTTCTACAGCCCCTTCCTCAGGGCTTCTGTGAGCACCCAGGTTGTGGTACCCTGGGACCAATCCAGTATCCCCACTGTGCAGATATGAAATGGGGCCAGACGGCGGGAAGGGGCAGTCCTGGGTTCCACAGCCCATTGGCCTGGGCTAAAAATGGAAAGGTGGGCTCTGGGATCTTCATGTCCACTCATCCTGGGAACACATGGGGAGACCGAGGCCCCCAGAGGGTCCCAGGCTGGCCCCAGGTCACACAGGTCACCCTTCGAGGCTGCTCCCCACTCTTCCCCTATAGGCCCCAGGGCGTGTGCGGGAGGGCTGTGGGGTACACTGGATGTCTGGGCCTGAGCCCCGCGCCACCTGCAGGAGAAGATCAGCAAGATGAAGGCCAATGAGACAAAGCTGGAGGGCGACAAGCGGCGCCTGAAGGAGGTCCTGGACGCCTCCGAGAGCCGCACTGTCAAGCTGGAGCTGCAGCGGCGCTCGCTTGAGGGGGAGCTGCAGCGCAGCCGCCTGGGCCTGAGTGATCGCGAGGCCCAAGCCCAGGCCCTCCAGGATCGGGTGGACTCCCTGCAGAGACAGGTGGGCCCCTCTCCAAATCACGGCCACAACATTTGCATGCCCTGTGCCAAGAGCTTTATAGGCACTATGCAATCCCCCAACAACCCTGTGAGGCAAGTATTACCAACATCCCCGTTTCACAGATGGACAAATAGAGGCTGAGAGGTGATGTCATTGTCCAAGATCCCACAGCTAGTAAGAGGCAGAGCCGAAATTAGAATTCAGGGCTATTTGATGACAGAATCTGCATACATAGGAGTCATCTGGGATAAGTTAGAGATGTAGGTTTCACTCATTTCCCTTTTTGCCTTAACTGCTAGGAAGCTCAGCTCTAACTGGAATGTTAAATAATTTGGCTAGCCTTGCCTGAACACCCACCAAAGTCAAAAATAGAAAATTTTAGTGTGGTGGTGGTTACCCTTTCTCTTCCATGGCAGAGAGGAGAGGGGAATGAGGACAGGGAGGAGACCAGTGAGTCTGAGACAGCTAGGTTGATGGCACTCTGGGCACGAGTAATTAGCCAGCAGTGACGTGGGGCCCAGGTTGCAGTAGGCTGAGCCAGCGGGAGTTCTTAGGAACAGAGGGTCTCAATGATGGAGGCCCAGAGAGAAGTGGGAAGGGAGTGGATTCGGCATGCCAGGTGGAGGTCACAGTAGAAGCAGAGATGTAGAGGCCAGATGGGAACAGCCCCCTGATTGTTCTGGCTGTCCTCCTGCCAGGTGGCAGACAGCGAGGTGAAGGCAGGGACCCTGCAGCTGACTGTGGAGCGGTTGAATGGGGCCCTGGCCAAGGTGGAGGAAAGCGAGGGGGCCCTGCGGGACAAGGTGCGGAGCCTGACAGAGGCCCTAGCCCAGAGCAGTGCCAGCCTCAACAGCACCCAGGACAAGAACCTGCATCTACAGAAGGCTCTGACCGCCTGTGAACATGACCGCCAAGTGCTCCAGGTCTCGGGCCCAGGGTCTGGCTGGGGTGGGTCCAATGAGAGAGTCAGCCAGTAAGAGCAGGCCTGGAGGGGGGCCCTGGTAAAGAGCCAGCCAATGGGGCAGTCAGTTGGAGCCAATGAGAGCAGGCTTGAAGGGAGGGCGTGGGCCCAGTAGACCATCAGCCAATGAGAAGAGGCTCTGGGTATGTCCTGTAAGAAGATAAGACTACTAGTATAGACTTGGGGGGCCCAGGTGCAGGGTTTATTGGGGAGATTTGGGGCCTGAGTGGGTCCTACCTTACGCAGGTCAGTGGATAGGCCGTGGATGGGTCTGGTGTGCACCCCACCCTCCAGGTGAGATGACTGCCTGTTTTGTGGGTTGTGGACCTATCTGGAGGTACAGAATAGAGAGGACTCCTTAGGGGTCCCAGGCCAGCCTGGCACCATCAGCCCCTGTCCCCCAGGAACGGCTGGATGCTGCCCGGCAGGCGTTATCTGAGGCACGGAAGCAAAGCAGCTCTCTGGGCGAGCAGGTGCAGACGTTGCGAGGCGAGGTGGCTGACCTGGAGCTGCAGCGGGTAGAGGCCGAGGGCCAGCTACAACAGCTACGGGAGGTGAGGGCCAGGGTGTGCCCCCTCTGTCCCCAAGACTGTGAGGCCCTGGGATAGGGTGGGGACGTTCCCACCCATCTCAACTTCATGCCAAACCCTGCTGCAACCTCCAGTAAGGAAACATGGTTCATTCAGAGCATAGTTCTGTTATACAGATGGAGAAACTGAGACTCTGAGAGAAAGGTTTGGCTTCAGGTGACAATTCTCTGATGTGGGCCTCACCGTCGCCTGCTCTGTGAGTGGGCCAGCCTCATTATCCCCAAGCTTCAGATAAGTATGCTCAGGCCCAGAGGGATTCAGGGCCTGCCTGGCTTCTGTTGCAGGTGCTGCGGCAGCGGCAGGAGGGTGAGGCTGCAGCCCTGCACATGGTCCAGAAGCTGCAAGATGAGCGGCGGCTGCTGCAGGAGCGCCTGGGCAGCCTGCAGCGCGCCCTGGCTCAGCTGGAAGCCGAGAAGCGGGAGGTGGAGCGCTCAGCCCTGCGGCTGGAGAAGGACCGTGTAGCCCTCAGGAGGACGCTGGACAAGGTAGGCTGCTCCCTGGGCTCTCCCCTCACTTCCTGTGGGGCCTAGCTGTGGTGGATCCCACTGCACATCCCCAGGGTGTGCTGCCTCTGGTGGGGTTAGGTTATTCCATTGGGGTTCAGGAACCCGAGCCCCCTCAGTAAGCTCCTCCTGGCACCCTGATCTCCTCTGGCTCTCCTGCCTAGGTGGAGCGGGAGAAGCTTCGTAGCCACGAGGACACAGTGCGGCTGAGCGCAGAGAAGGGCCGCCTGGACCGCACCCTCACGGGAGCTGAGCTGGAGCTGGCAGAGGCGCAGAGGCAGATCCAGCAGCTGGAGGTCTGACCCCACCCAGTCCGGGACGCCAACTTCATCCCCAATCTGAGTGCTCAGCAATCCCAGTGTTGCTGATGGCCCAGCCAGCCCAGGGCCCACAACCCCCTCCTCTAGGAGCTCTGAGCCTTCCAGTGACCCAGCCAGGCTATGGAGGGAGGGGTTCTCCATAAGGTGTACGGAAAAGACACTAAAGGCCTTTTGCACGTGAGCCTGTGGGTTCATGTATGTTGTGGCCTTGCGGCAGTGTGAGAACCCATGTGATTATTCTTGTGTATGGAGCATGAACCTTGTGCATGGTGTGGCGTGTCTAGGTATTGTGAATATGTGTTTGTGTACAGACGTTTTCATGTATGTGGGAGTTGGGCCTTTGCACATACACATGCACCTGTGTGAGTCCAGGTAGGGATTTACATGCTTGCCTTTGTGCCTGTGTGTATGACGTCTGAGTGTGTGAGTGTGTGTGTGTGTGTGCGCGCGCATGCACCTACCTGAGTGGGGGTCATTGGGTGCACTCACCCTGGGCTTGCAGGCTCACTGTCAGGGCCAGCAGGATGGAAGACACACAAGGATCTCTCCTGCCTTCCCTCTCTGCACTGGCCACGTCCCAGGGAGGTGCCTGACAACCTGTCACACATGCGCACACACACTCACGCTGGGCCAGAACCCTGACCACAGCCGCTCTCTGCAGGCGCAGGTGGTGGTGCTGGAGCAGAGCCACAGCCCAGCCCAGCTGGAGGTAGATGCGCAGCAGCAGCAGCTGGAGCTGCAGCAGGAGGTGGAGCGGCTGTGCAGTGCCCAGGTGCAGACTGAGCGCACGCTGGAGGCTCGGGAGCGGGCCCACCGCCAGAGGGTGCGTGGGCTGGAGGAGCAGGTGTGCAGGCCCCCTCAGAAGGCTGGGCCAGGATCCTGTGTGGGGCTGGAGGAAGGGGAGAGACCCAGTCAAGACCTCGTGGGTATAGGCAGTTGATGGCTCCCATAACGGAAAAGGGTGGGGTTGGCTCTGCGCTGGTATCAGCCAAGACCAGACCAGGGGCCACGGGATGCTCCTGGGCCCAAGGCCTTCCTGCCATGGCTCTGCTCCCCCTGGCTCCATGCTCAGGGCAGCCTTCTCCCTGGGTGGCCAGGTGTCCTCAGCAGCTCCAGCCTCAGGTTCTCCCAGCAATCTCATCCCTGAAGACCGCAGGGGCAGAAGTCCCAGGGCTGTCCCTCACTGGCCTGCTCAGATCACACACCCCTTCCTGACCATGCCTGAGCCAGCCTTGTCAGCTGGAGGCTGGGTCACATGTCCACCCCTTGGGTCTGGGCTAGAGCCACGCCCACCCAAGTGATGATGGGGATAAAGAATGGGGGTGGAGTTGCCCTGAAAGGTGCCGACAGTCAGAAGACGCCTGACTCTGCCGTAAGGAACAAAATGAGAAGGGCAGGACAGCCCCTGGCTCTCAGTCAGGTCAGACCTTTCCTGAAACCGTGGCATTGTGTCCCTCTGGGTTCCCAGCTGCCTTCCTTTCTCTGAAGCCAGGCTGACGACCTGACTGGCCTTATCTTCCCTTTTTTCCCCAGGTGTCCACACTGAAGGGACAGTTGCAGCAGGAGCTTCGAAGGAGCTCAGCACCCTTCTCCCCACCCTCCGGCCCCCCAGAGAAATGAACCCCTGCTGGCATCTGGAAAAAGGCCCTATGCCCGGGACAGGGGAGGGCCCTCCTTTTGGACAGCCCACCCTCCAGAGCCCAGTCCCTTGGGGGCCTCAAGCTAGGGTGGGATGAGGAGGCGCTCCGCTGGCAGTGCTGAGGAGGGGTACTCCAGCTCCAGGCCTGGCGAGGCTTCCCAGCATCGCCTGCAGGCCCCACCTCAGTCCAGCCTCCCTCTTCCAGGATGAGCCACTGTAGATAGTACAAGTTCCTCCCTGAGGGGCTGAGCCGTAGCCAGGGTTGGGGAGAGCCCTCGTCTCTGGTCAGCCCTGGAGCAAGGGTTCGTGGGAAAGAGGAGAGGGGCCAGGCCCAGGGCAGGGGTCAGAGGCCCAGTCCCTGACTCTGGCTTCCCAGGGATCTGTCTGCCTTAGTTGAGAGTGTGTGTCAGGAAATTCCTCAGAATGCTCAGAGTCCCTGTATTTTTATACCTTTTTACAATGTTAACTGTTCAGAACTGTTTTTTGTAACAAGACCTCCTTTTCTAAAAAGTTTGTACAGATGTGTCCCTCTTCTAGATGATTGGAGGAGACGGGGTCGGGGGGAGACAGGTGGGGTCTGGGGCAAGAGGGATGGGGCCCTGTAGGGAGGGGTGCTTGGGGAGGCGGCAGGGAGAGGCAGAGAGGCCTGTGTTGGGAAGGGAACTTGCCAGCCTCACAGGATGTCAGATGGGGAGGCCTCTGGGGTCCTGAGTCACCCGGTGCATAGAACAGATGGGGCTGTTGAAGCCTGGGACTGGACCGAGCCTGGGCAGCTCGACTCTTTCCAGTCTGTGCTTTCTTGCCCCTTTCTCTGGCCCCTCCTTAGATCCAAGCCCACCCTCGGGACAGTGACAGGCCTTCCAGGCAGCATGGCAAACAAGTGCAGGTTTGGGTGTGAACATGCCTGGCTCCGCTGGGTGATCCTGAGCAAAGCTGTCGCCCAGGCTGGAGCGCAATGGCACGATCTCAGCTCACTGCAACCTCCACCTCCCGGGTTCAAGTGATCTTCCTGCCACAGCCTCCTGAGTAGCTGGGATTACAGGTGCCCGCCACCATGCCCAGCTAATTTTTGTATTTTTTTTTTTTTTTAGTAGAGACGGGTTTCACCATGTTGATCAGGATGGTCTCAAACTCTAGACCTCAGGTGATCCACCTGCCTTGGCCTCCCAAAGTGCTGGGATTACAGGCATGAGCCACCACGCCCAGCCTGCTTAACCTCTTAAAGCCTCAATTTGCTCATTTGTAAAATGGGAACCTACCGCATAGGGCGACTGGGGAAGTTCACATAGGAGGTGCTCAATCAGTGTCTGAAGGAGAAATTAATACTCATCCTCATCTGCTGGAGTCCAGCTGCCCGATTTGGCCACAGCACTGCCGCTGACAGCTGTGGACCCGTGGGTGGGACCCTTGGGTGGGTTACTTCATGTCTCTGGGCTGTTTTCCTGTCTCTAAGAGGGGGATATGAATTACATCCACCACATATGCCTGTTCAGAGTTAAGGAGTGTGCGAGCCTTCACGCAGAGCCCAGGCCCCACGTGCTGGTCAGAGGGAGGTGTTATAATGGCTTGCTCGTTTTTGCCCTCTTTTTTTCTTTGAGACAGTCTTGCTCTGCCCAGGCTGGAGTGCAGTGGCGCGATCTTGGCTCACTGCAACCTCCGCCTCCCAGGTTGAAGCAATTCTTGTGCCTCAGCCTCCTGAGCAGCTGGGTTTACAGGCGCACGCCACCACGCCTGGCTGATTTTTTTTGTATTTTTACTAGAGACAGGGTTTCACCACTTTGGCCAGGCTGGTCTCGAACTCCTGGCCTCAAGTGATCAGCCCGCCTCGGCCTCCCTGAGTGCTGGGATTACAGGTGTGAGACCCTGCACCCCACCGTTTTTGTTCTTTTAATGGCACCCATCTCCCCAACTTCTCAAAGGCCTTGGATGTCAGTCCGCCTGCCTTGATCTCATGCCCTCCAACCCCATGGGCAGCCTCCCATCTTCACTGTGTCCCTCTGGTGATGGGAACTCATGTCCTCACCAAGCAGCCCTGATCATGAGAAAGCTGTGTCCCTGAAGCCTTCCATCTCCCATGCAATTCCTGCAACACGCGTGCGCACGTACACTGTCATGACGCAGTGTTCTGGGCAGGGCAGAACTGGAGCCGGTGGGTGAGGAGGTGGGGCTGGGACTGCAGAAGCACAGGGCACCTGAGCAGACCGTTCACTCCAAGGGGTGGGGAGCCTCTCAGGACAGTCTGCGTTGGGGGCACTTGGCTGGCCCTTCTGTGCTCTCTACCGAAAAAGTGACTCGATCTTTTGTAAAAACTGTTTTTAATTTTGTATAAAATAAAGGTGGTCCATGCCCAGGGGGGCTGTAGGAAATCCAAGCAGACCAGCTGGGGTGGGGGGACGTAGCCTACCTCAGGGGACTGTGAAGGGGGGACTGTCTGTCCTCAAAAGGGGCTGAGAAGGCCCGTAAGGGGCCAAGGTCCCACAGAGAGGCCTGGGATGCCCCCTCCAACCTGAGGGGCAGACACTAGGCAGTGGGGAGCTCCCATCATGCCCCAGAGGTGGCCACAGGCTGAAGGAGTGGCCTGAGGCACCGCAGCCTGCAGCCCCCAGGGCTGCAGTCCACTAACTTTTTACAGAATAAAAGGAACATGGGGATGGGGGAAAAAGCACCAGGTCAGGCAGGGCCCGAGGGCCCCAGATCCCAGGAGGGCCAGAACTCCGGATGCCAGCACCACCCTAGCAGCCCCCACAGCTCCTGGCACAGGAGGCCGCCACGGAATGGCATAGGCCGCTGCTGGCCATCACGCCACATTTGGAGAACTTGTCCCGACACAGGTCAGCTATTAGGGGCAGGAAGGAGGGGGGTCAGGGTGGAGCTGGGAGATGAGAACCGCTGTCCCTCCCCCAACTCTGGTGATAGGAGTGTTTTGAGGATGAAAAGTAGCAGGGAGGGGAGCTCAGGGTGTCCTGGAAGTGGGCCTGGTGGATAATACGTGTTGAATAAACATCAGGTGGGTGACTAGGTAGCCAGATAATGAAGTGGACCAGGGGGTAGGGGAGGTCTTGGGGAGGAGGCCTTCCTACCTCGGAGGAGCTCCTCGTGGGCACACACTGTACGGACACAGATCTCCTTGTTAACAACGTACACACGGCGGAGGCTGCAGGGACAGGGCACGGGAGGTCTCAGCCCCACTTCCACCCAACCCCACTGGGATAGCCCAGACAGAACCCGGCACTGGAGTCCAGGAGTGGAGGTCCCTGGCTCAGGCTCAACCACAGAACTGAGCTCAACTTCAGGACTCACTATCTTTCCTCCAACTCCCACCTTGGCTGGCCAGAGCTGTCCCGTGTGCCCTCTAGCCCCCCAAACTCCGGAGTCCTCCCGACAGCTGCCCACCTGTGCTCACCTGTAGAAGCAGACCTCGTTGATACACTGTTTGCACGGCTTGTGTATGGAGTAGAGGCGGGTGCACGGGTACTGTTCCTCACGGCAGTCTGGTGACAGGTGGGGTCAGACTAGGAGCCCAGAGTTGGGGGGCGGCCCCCAGCCTCACCCACCTGAGGCTGGTTCGCAGGGCCTAGTCCCCCCTGTACCCTCAGGCCCCGTGCAGACACCCATACCTACACATGCCCACGTAGACACGTGCAGCACTGTCAGACTTACCAGGGCTGTAATATTCATGTATCAACTCACAACCACACTTACTATAGAAGCCTAAGTTCAACAGAAATTCCCACCCACCCGTGCATCGTCACAAAAGCCCATACCAACTTCCAAGCAGATCTGCCCACGCTCACAGAAGCCCACATAGGAACACACACACCAACCCACACGAGGGTAAGCACACGGATTCTCTCGCACACACACACCTTGTTCTTTCAAGCTCTCAGCTGGGGCAGCCGAAGGGGCACCGCTCAGCCAGCCTGCGCTCCCTGGCCCTTCCTCGCCTCCACATGGGCACCACCCAGTCTCTCTGGCTGACAGGAAGTCCCCAGCACACTCCCTGCCCCCCCCAGTAACTGTGAGGACAGGGGCCTTCCTAGGCTGCCAATTTAGCCTCCAGTCAGGCACGCTGGGGACTGGTGGGACCTCCTGGAGCTGCCTAGGGGGGCCTGGGGATGCCAGCCTACAGCAGTCATACTGCCCACATTACTGCCAACAGCCCACATGGGCAAGGGACAAAGACTTCCAGCCCACCAGCACCGCCCCCTACTCCACCCCAACTTCAGGCCGTGCCTCCATTTCTCTGGCTGTCAAGAAAGCCCTTACCAAGAGGCCCAGGCTCTGTGGGCTCCGCCTCCGCATTTCCTGGTTCTGGTGTCGAGACAGAGGTAGGCAGACATCATTGGGAGGGGTATCTTCAGGGCAAGGGGAGTCACCTCTCCCAGCCCTGGCAGACCCCCACTCCCAGGGTGGACAGAGTGGGGAGGGGTGAGGCAGGAGCTGGGGCAGGGGTGGGAGCAGGGTCTGGCGCCTACCTGGGGTTGGGGCTGGGATGACTTCCTGTTGCACTTGCTGCTGGGACTGGAACTGGAACTGTTCCTCGGAGGGCCGAGGAGTCACCTCTGCAGCCAGGGGAGGATAAGGGGGTCTGCTCCCTCTACCCCTCCCAGGGGCTCTCCCCACCCCAGCTGCCCGCCTACCCCCAGCCCGTTACCTTGATAATCATAGTAGTCTGGGCTGTCTGCAAACAAAGATGAAAGTGGAATTGGTGGGAGTCAGGCTACTCCCCCAGCCCCAGGGGCAAACAAGGTCCCCGCTGAGCCAGGGACCAACCCCCAGAGTTCCCATCAGCCTGTCCAGTGCGGTCCCTGGCTGAGCCATGCACATCTGAGCAGCCAGGCCTCCGTGACCCGGCAGGGCTGGGGGTGGAAGGCCCTTACCGATCTGGTCGCTATAGTGGGTGTACTGGACGTGGTCAGGGAACGGCGGCAGTGGGTCCAGGTCGTACTGGCCCTGAGCCAGCAAGCCTGCTGTGGGGAGGCAAAGCATGTGGGATACCCCACGGGGAGGGGCAACGGGGGCCTCAGGCGCTTCTGGGGAGGTGAGGCGGGGGTCACAAGGGCAGGTCTGTAAGAACCTAGGACCCTACAAGCAGATTCCTAGAGGATCCAGACTCTTCTTCGATGGTAAAGACGCTTCCCCACCCTGGTCGTGGTCACCTCCCTGACCTCATCCTGCCCCTTCCTGTTGCTGGCCTCCTGGCTGTTCCTGGGACTCCACATGCTCCTGCCTCCCTCAGAGCCTTTGCACCTGATGCTCCCTGGGCCTGTGAGGCCTGCTCAGCTGCTTCAGGTCTTCCCTGGAATTTCAGCCTCATGAGAGGCCGCCCCACCCCCAGCCCACCGGCCCTCCTGCTGATTTCCGTCCAGCACTCAGCACATGCTGGCGTTTCTCACATCTGCTTGTTTCCTGTTTGTCCTCCTTCCCTGGACTGGCCGCATGATGAGGAGCAACGATGTGTCTGCCTGGTTCATTGCTGAATCCCCAGGGCCTAGCCCAGCACTTGGCA